CCTACACTAGGACAATTAATCAACTATTGCTGGCTATCGTATAGTAAAAGGATTAAGCTGAATTCCGAGTCCACCTGGCAACAGATCATGATCCCCACAGCAAATAATATTTATACATTTCGATAATAAGCTAATTACGTCCCAACCTTTCTGAGTCTTCCTCTTGACATTACTGTGCCAAACTTACGCCATGATTTATCTGGGCCGAATCATGGGTCACGCCGACTTAAGAACGAAGGAATTTATTGTTTGATTTTGTATTTTATATCTGACTAACTGAAAAACAAGACACAACTACTAAAGCCAAACAATTTTTTTGTTTATGATAAAATAAAAATCCATCGCATAACTTTGTTAACAGAAAACTATAGTGTATAGATATAGAGCTTCAACACGGTAGTTCAGGTTACCCGCTGTAGCCAAATCGAGTCATTGTACGTGTAAAAAAAAATAATGTTATAGTTCTTGATTTAATACTAATGAGTTAACTTTTCGTTAAGTCTTTCAGCTATTTCGTAAGGCGCACCTTTAGCATATATCATATCGCTCTGTGTCGGCTACCCACCTTTGTGCTAACGCTTTAATTAAAGTAAGCAGAATAACTTGTATTTCTATCACATCTGCGTCAGAAAATAGTACCCAAGTGGTGTATTCAATATTATAGCATAGAAAAAAACGATGTCAAAGACCAACTATTAGTAGCTTAATAGCTTAATTGCCTATTAAAGTAAAAAAACATAAAAGTAAAAAGCAAAGCACATCGAGAGGATAAATGCACTAGGCCGAGTAATTATCTTTTATACAGTGCACACATGTATAGTGTATAAGTGAAGCAATAAAATTATACTTCACGTCTTAGATAAATGCTAAGTACGAAATGGATAGACGAACCTCTATAAATCCAAGCTAATTGGCAGATCATTCACCTTCACATACTAATTTCTATAATAGGATTTAATTTTCAGTATGTTTAGTTCTATTCCTTATCGTCTCCTCTATGTTGTATTCGTTTCTGACCATAAAACTACTGAAAACAAGCTGCTCACTATTGTTGATTTTTCGAAAAATGTATGTTTAATTCGTAGAAATTCTCGCTAAGCATAAGTATGTAAGCGCTGTCAATGCGTTAGGGATCCTGATGTTAAACGATAGAAATCGACGAATGCTTTTAAAAAAAATGGTGTTGACGCTCCATACGTCTAACTATGGCAGATACCAATCGAATGACTATACAGCATTAAATACTAAACAACTAGCAGGCCATTGTAGTTGAAATCGGCTCAGCAGAAACAAAGGTCAGCTATCCGCAGTTATAGACTAGGCGCCCTACTTCTAAAAATAAAAACGTAAAACGAAAACAGTTACTACAGCCAAGTCTCTAAATCAAACAGAAGGTGGCAGGATAAGACGTTTTACGTATATGCGTGGTACCTACTATGCATTTAAAATTCATCACCTATGAATTAGTGTTTCCTGGTTTTGATGACAGTAAAGCTTGGCCGGTCCCAAAAATTAAAGTTGAAGCCTAAATTTAAAGAAACTTTCTAGCTAAAGATGAACTTGAAATTTTAAGCAGTACAGTGATTTTTGGCGCCGGAAAATGCAGTCTTTAGAATTATCTGCTCTCACGTTAACCAAGGGTAAATCAGAACAGGATACAACTGTATCTTATTTTTTACCCAATTTATTGATCATGCTTCTCACTCTCAAGGCATTGCCTGGGTTCCTTCTGGGGACGGAAGCACTGAAAACGTTATTGTAAATACTATATAATGATAATATATGTCAAGATAGTAATGTCTCCATATATATCGCAAGTGGCAAGAGCCTGCAAATATACGCCTGAGAATTTGGTAAGGATTGTCATTAGAACCTTACATGATAATTTGCCTTGGCCAGGGAACAGTTTCCCACCTTCTTCTTTCCTTTAAAGGTTACTTCGACTAATTTCTAAGCTGGTTACGTATAGACCACCAACGTTATCTATGTCACTCCCGCCTTATCTCAAACACATGCCCTCAGTCATGGCATTTTTCATATTTGCTATACCCGTTATAACGGCTATTGTCTCCATTCTCTAAGTGCCTCTTAACCTGTCATAAAAATAAATGCCACGGTACAAAAGTCGAACCAGATGTGTGCACCCTCAGTGATCACAACTTCGTAGACAAGCACCCTTCTCAGGTCACTGGGCGCTTTATCAATGTCCCCTCACCTATACGCTGTGTAAATACGCGGAACCAGGTAGCTGTTTGCAACCACAAGAAATTTACTCCTATCCAAAAGAGTTCATAGAGGTCAAAGAAATGGCCTCGAGAACTGCTGTAAGGGTTCAGCTAACTGTAAGTGTTTCTGCGACAGCTTAAGTGCCTTTTAGAAGACTTTAGGCCTGTTGAGCTGCTAAACCTGCAGGCAATATTAACAGTAATAGTAGTATTAAGTAATTCGCAAAAATGCTGTCTTTGACTGAATAGCAGCCAGGGCAGATATTGAAAATATGGCTGCTTTTAAAATCGGCCTATGAAACTGGGATTCTTCATGTTTGTTGAACGTGGCCATTGTACGATAACTTACAAGTAACACAGGTAGATTGTAGATATTTTCAGTTTTATTAGAATTTCCAAGCCATCAATTCCGGTGATAACATAAAACAAGTTATATTCTAGTTTCTCAGTTATATTCCTAGTGCCTATTGTTTAATTTGTAACCACAAGCCTTTCCAATAGATCAGATTGCATATCACTGAACCCCTTTCCAGAAAAATTAAATATAACTGGAATATCACTTTTGGAAACTAAATTTGCAATAATCTTGAAAAAAATCCATATTCAATCCGTTTACGATTACTTTTACGAGGCAAAACAGTTCAACACTTGAGGCATCTATGAATATAAATTCTCTAGTAATATTAAGTGAAAATAATAGACGAAAAGAGCGAACTGTGAGAGCAAAATAGCCTATAACCTTTCATCCACACTTGACCTGAATCGACCTGCACGCCCTCTGTCGTTGATAATTAGAGCTGATTACAGGAACTGTCGCGTTCTACAGGCGTACGGCAAAGATGAGAGCGGGCAAGCGCTGGCGGAGAAGTAGAGGAAATGCTTGGGCTTTCGTCTCTCATGGTTCCTCGGTTTCATTTGTCACCCGCATTGCTCTTCCATATCTTATGTTACGTCTACGTCAAGCCACTAGCCGTCAAGCGGGTCTATTATGAGGATCCAAACGCGTAACGGGTCGCATGACTCTGCTTCCGTTGGCTACGAATGCCACCGCAGCAAAAGCAGCCTTTACGTAATACTTCTGCGGTTCGCTTAGCTGGATAGTGATAGTTAAAATCGCGGGCAACAGGTTACTGTGCAGGCGTGGGTCACGCGTGCCTTGCTGCCCGTTGTGGGTGTCGGCTTCAATCTCGGTCTTAAGTGTCTGCATACACCGCCCACGTGGTAGTGTCAGTTTTAGCTATAACTTAACTTTGATAGAGACTGAGTGTGGTTCGTTACATATCAGCTAAGCCCATTTGTGTTAACAATACACTGTACTGAATTTGGCGTAATGTAAACTGAAAAGCGGATCAGACTTGTCGTTAGCTACTGAAATTAAAGAACAACGCCAAGACCTGTTTTGAATGCGGCTTACTGTCAAAAGACAGGCAAGCGTGTGTGCGACAAATGAATGAGTAGACCTGCACGGAATACGATTATATAGAGGGCCCAGACACATGTATGATTAAATGTAGCCCCGTTTTCCTAAGTTAATTAGTATTTTCGGGTTACAGTTATTGTCTACGCGCCGACTGTGTTCGGATATCGAGTAACTTTGTAATGCGACCGATTTCGATATTGTGTGTGACATTACCGTTTGAGTTACCGTTTAATGGCAAATGATAAAAAATAAATTCACTATTAATTTGTGTGTGTACTTAACTATTGTTGACATAACAACGAAATAACCTTTAATTACGCTTCTGATTGTTTTACGGCTAAAATTACTGTGACTGCAAGCAAAGAAAGAAGCAAAACTGTATCTATTGGACTGTTAATCAGTACGCGTCATCAATATGTATTCATTCAATCATCGTACGTCAAATAACTGATATTCGAAGAAGAGGCTCTTCTGAGAGCATAATCGAAGTGATCGTTTTTTTAGCGTGCATATCTGCTTTCTGCCAGTGACCGACCGACCAAAAAACATATTGGTAGCAATAATAATAATAATAAACTTTATTGACAAGTCTATAAGTACAAGAGCGTATCGATTTGCAGGTACTTCATTTTAGATAAACGACCTGACCATGTATGTCAAAGACAGAAAGTTATTGGGGATCTCGATCGGCCAATTACGGCCGCGTCCACCTCGTTCGCACGAGATAACTCGGATGTTAGGGAGAGGCTAAATTTCTCGAAAGCGTTGCAGCAACGTTCGTAATAAAGATACGAATTCTCATGGAAGCAGGAATTCCTTCGAAGGGCTAGCATTGAAAGAGCAGAAGAATACAAGTAATCAACAAAAGTCCACCCTGAGTCCGACAACTGCGTTGCTACCGCGTATTTTGATAGTAGTTGTATAAGGTAAACGTCCTTCGCGACGTTCCTGCTACCTGGCATCAGTAGTAGAATGCATAACGCGGTATAGCCGGATTAGGCTTAATTTCTTTTTCGCTATACATTGTAGCGTAATCGTAGCGCGTAGCATTGTAGCGTGTCGCCTAATGATCACTTGAAGTACGATTCAATAGCCAAAGAATCGTAGTAGAAGTGAACAAAAGTCATGGTCATTATGAGCAATAATGGTTCCTCTATTAACTAACCTTCATGTTCCGTCTACATTTCTGCGTTATACGTTTAAACATTGATACCTAACAAATCACAGCGTTCGCA